TTTGTTTATTAAATCTTTATTCAATTTTTGACAACAAATTTTACAACCATTTCATACGAAGTTAACATTTATCCATTCATCCCATACCACCCCAACCCATCCTATCCCCCCTCCATCTCTCCCCTTTCCCCAATATAGACCTCTTCGGCCACTCTAAGGACAAGGCGCGGGACAGTGTTCTAGTGACCTGACCCCCACTCCCCCCCCTTCTACCCCCTCAAAAAAAAAAGTATTTATTATACGTGGCGCTTTCAATCCTTTCCAAATCCCTGTACGAATGCCTCTCTGAGGCATATATTATCTACCGTGCCCTCGTTACATCAATCTTCCTTCTATTCTCCTGTGTGTTATTCCTACGAAATCCGTGTCGTACATCTATATCACTCTTCTTGTGTACGTGTAATAAAAAAAAAAAAAGAGTGATTGTTGTCACCCTAAGACAAGAAGTGTGATACTGGATCACCAGGTAAAAATATAGGGAAAAAACCTGAAGCAAAGAAAACTAATGCAGCTGCCACATCCAAGGACTGCTAAGCTGCAATATATTACATTTGCAACACAAAATATGTAAACCATTGCTGTTCAGTCAGCAGCCTTTGCTTCACACACCCACCTCTCCTACTCCCCTTTAGTTTCAACCAACTCTTGCTGCAAGTCCCGCCAATGTTTCCTTTTACCTTTGCTTGGCTAACCTGCATTCTTTTAGGCCCTGTTCACACTTTGTTAGCGCACGCCCATTATTTATCATAAATTCTTTATTCATTCATTGTGTTTCACTGTAAACCAAAAAGAGAAATAAACCAAGGGGCATTGAGAAGGAATGTTGGGGTGCCATTAGGAGTGAACACAGGACTGTGTTGCAATGAATGGCACTGTATCGCACCTACACATGTAACTGTAGTGTGAATGGGCCCTTGCTGATTGTAATGTTTTAAAGTTGGAACACAAACTAAATACATAACAATGCTTTGTTTACATCTAGTTTAGGTTTGGTTTGTTCATTTAGATACTAAAGGGTTCTATTAATGGAGACTGTCTTGAGCTCTATGAGGCATTCTACTGCATGAGGAGCAGAGCCCTGACACCCAGGGCTCACAGGAAGTGTGTTGAATGATGCTGGGCGTCATTCAAACCAGAAGAGCAGCGGTGAATGGGTGGGTCTGTGAGCGCTGCACTGGAGAAAGACTGAGTATAGCAGCTAGAGCTGCTTTTTTTTATTTTTTGGAAATTAGAATTTTTATTTTTTGCCCAAGCTGGACTTGGACTGTATGTTTAATTTTTTGTGTGTGTTTAGGTGGTCTTTTTCCTGCCCTGTTCATCAAGTAAAGCTGGCTTAACATTGAGCGAATTTGCTCAGTGCGTGGCCCTGTCTGCCGGCTCCCATCCAACATATTTTGGTTGATGCTGAAAGGAGGCGGGCATGGTTGGTCGAACAGCGTCTGCATCGAATCAGCTGCAGGCACTGATCTGGTATTTAGACAGCCTGCGGGGCCGCAGCAGGAGTTTTCTCCATCCAAGTGTAGCGTGGATGAAGGAATCTGTTATATTTTTTCTGTTCAGCCCTAAAGCTGTGTACACCCACAGCTGTGTATATCCAGCTTTAGTTTGAATGTGTCATACTTTCTACACCAAAGATTATTTATGAATGGTTTCTTACATGTTTTTATATTATCTAATTTTATTAAGAGTTTACAGAAAGATGTTTTTATATTTTGACAGTATAATTACTTCACTTTCTTTTCACATTGCTTTAATTTGTGTAGTTGTCACCAGCCTTGTTTTTTTGGGTTATGGTTATCTAACACTTGTGCAGTTTATGTTTTATCGTTATTAGCACTTAGTGATAGGCAGAACTTGGTCTCTCTCTCTGTTGAATTAATTGATTGCCCCTTCAGTCTGGCAGGAGGAGTAATAGTGATAGATTTTTGTATGTGGGTTGTGCTTTAATCATGTCTGTCAGAAGTATTTTTTTCTATTGATTGTTTACACTTGGTTTTTAGTTTTCTTAGTGTAATATTTGTGCATGTTTATGATATATCAGCAAATTATGTTTTGCTTGTATATATGCAGTGCTTGCAGGCTTCATTCTTTAACGTATTGTATTCTTGCAAGTACAAACAAAACAGGTAATTGTTTCCATTAGCTAACTTATTAGCTTTGTCGACACGCTTTTGTTTGATTTAGAACAGCCTCTGTCCTCCTTTTTGCAAAATGCAAAAGCAGCCGACACAGGTCAAATGTACCTGCAGTGCATTCTGATTGATCTCAAAAGTGCTCCAAACTGATGTGAAAAGCATGCTGCATTTGCCCATCATTGGCCCTTACGTTTTGCACACAGATGGGCTTTAAAGGTTTGTGGTACAAAAGTGTTTGCAGAAAAGCTTGCACAAAAGTTTTTTTATGTTATGCATACCATGAAAAAAAAAAAA